GGGGGTGGGGGGAGTCCCTTGGTCTGGCCTGCACCCTCTCCAATCTGGGACCCCTAGGGGGATGTCCAACTGCCAGTTTAGGCCCTGTAGGATCGTGCCTAAACGGGCAGTTGGACATGCCTCTTGCAATCCAGGACCCCTGGCTCCTGCCTGCCTGCCCCTAACCCCTCTGCCTGCTTGCCTGATCGCATCCTAACTGCCTCTCCCTCACCACTGCTTCCTCCCCCCGCCCCCCACCCCGCCACGGCTTTATCAGGATGGACATCCAGAATGACATCCGGAAGGTTGTTTGGCTGTCTGATCTAATTAGCATATCACACTTCCATTATTATAGATATATAGAAAACCATAAAGACTCTACCAAAAAACTGTTAGAACTAAAAAATGAATTCAGTTAATTTGCAGAATACAGAATTAATGAATAGAAATCTGTTGCATTTCTATATACAAATAATAAATGATCAAAAAAATAAATTAAGAAAACAATTCCATTTACAATTGCATCAAAAAATATAAAATACCTAGGAATAAATTTAACCAAAGAGTTAAAGACCTGTACTCTGAAAACTATGAACACTGAAGAAACTAATTGAAGAAGATATAAATAAATGAGAGGACATACCATGCCCATGTATTTGAAACATTAATATTTTTAAATGTCTTTACTATTTAAATAAATATACAGACTTAACACAATCTCTATTAAAATACCAATGGCATTCTTCTGCTAACTAGACAAACTAATCATAAAATTTATGTGAAACTACAAAACACTCTGAATAGCTAAAGAAATCTTGAGGAAGAATGTAGTGATCAATATCACACTCCCAGATTTCAAATTATACTACAAACTTTCAATAATCAAAACAGTGCGGTACTGACATAAAAACAAATATACAGATCAATGAAATAGAGAACCCAGAAATAAATCCTCACTTATAAGGTCAATCAATCTAAAACAAAGCATGCAAGGATATACAATTGGGTAAAGGCAGTCTCTTCAATAAATGGTGCTTGGAAAACTGGATAGATATATGCAAAAAATGAAACAGGTACTTTCTTACACCATATCTATAATAATAATAGACAAACATGGTAATTGACTATACCTTTGCTACGCCTCCCATTGGCTAATCATGACAATATGCAAATTAACCACCAACAAAGATGGCAGCTAGTTGCATACTGCAGGCAGGGTGGGCCAGCACCAGCTGCCATCCAAGCCCCTGTGTGCCGTCAAAGCCCCCCCGCCCCAGCTGGGACCCCTGTGTGTGGCCCTGGGCTGTGGGGCTTGGCGACACGATTGGCCCGAGGAAGCCCTATTCTTGCAGGAATCCTCCTGCAATGGGCTTCTAGTACAAAATAAATTCAAAATGGATTGAAGACTTAAATGTAAGACCTGAAACCATAGAAGTCCTAAAAGAAAATATGTGCATTACCCTCTTTGACATGGATCTTAGCAATGTCTTTTTGGAAATGTCTCCTCAGATTAGGGCAACAAAAGAAGAAATAAACAAATAGGACTACATCAAACTAAAAAGGTTTTGTGCAGTAAAGGAAATCATCAAGAAAATGAAAAGAAAACCTACTGAATGGGAGAATATATTCACAAATAATATATCTTATAATGAATTAGTATCCAAAATATATAAGGAACTCATACAACTTAATATAAAAAATATCAAACAATTTGATTTAGAGATGGGCAAATGACTTGAATAGCCATTTCTCCAAAGAAGACATACAGATGGTCAATAGACATATAAAAAGATTCTTAACATAGCTAATCATCTAGAAAATGCAAATCAAAACCACAATAAAATACCACCTCATACTTATCAGAATGACAATTATCAAAATATCAACAAATGCTAGCAAGGATGTGGAGTAAAGGGAAAGTTTATACACTGTTGGTGGGGTTTTAAATTGTTGTATACATTATGTAAAACAATATGCAGATTCCACAAATTCTAAAAATAGAGCTGCCATATGAGCCAGCAATACCACTTTTGGTATTTATTTAAAAACCAAACAGACTAATTAAAAAATGATATATGCATCCCTTTGTTCAATGAAGCATTATTTACAACTAGAGGCCCGGTGCATGGAATTCATGCACCCAGGGGAGTCTCTCAGCCCAGCCTGTGCCCTCTCACAGTTCGGAAGCCCTCAGGGGATGTCCAACTGCTGGCTTAGGCCTGCTCACAAACCTCTCAGTCAGGCAATATTTATTAAAGCTGGTGATGGGAACATAAATTATACTAATACTAGAGGCCCAGTGCACGAAATTCATGCAGGGGAAAGTGGGGGTGTCCCTCAGCCCAGCCTTCACCCTCTCCAATCTGGGAACCCTCAAGGGATGTAAACGGGCAGCCAGACATCCCTCTCACAATCTAGGACTGCTGGCTCCCAATCGCTCACCTGCTTACCTGCCTGATTGCCCCTAACTGCTTCTGCCTGCCAC